GAGGAGATAAGTGGAGTTAACAAAAGAGTCAAATAAAAGAGAAGGATAGGCTAATCGCGAAGGTCAAGTGGTCGATCTGAGTAGAATACCCCCAATATTCGAGGGGAGACACGAGTGGATTAATCACTAGAGTCAAGCGAGGGAAACGAGTAGAGTATTCCCGAGGGTCAAATAGGAAAGATAAACGAAGTGATCACGCGGGGAAAATGGCTACACTGAGAAAAAAGTTTAATCCTGCCAGTCAAATTTGTTTCAGATAAACGAATGACCGAAATTTTCACACGAAATCTCCCTATAAATTCTTGTTTGAACAAATTTAATTGGCAGAATTATATTTTTTTCTCAAAGTGGAAACATCCAAAGTATTTTTACCCTTGGAAGGAAAGCAAGTGGATTAAGGGAACAATGATAATAGTGAAATAAGGAGACAACTTGATTAAACACGAGGTTTAAATGAGCTAGATGAGTGGAGTGATAGCGTCAAATAGAAAAGACAACTGGAATAAACAAAGAAAATCAAGGGTTAGATGAAAGAGCATAGAGTAATTACAAGAATCAAGCAGAGGACGTGAGTGGATTGATTGCAAAGGTCGTACTGGGGACACGTAGAGTTGTAATGACAGGGGTAAAAACTCTCTTTTGATGCTTCTAGCCATTTTCCCCACGTGATCACTCCTTTTTTTATCTCTCTTGTTTGACCCTCGTGAGTACTCCACTCGTCTCCTCCACTTGAATCTTGTGATTACTTCACTCTCTCCCTTATGATCACTCCACTCTGATCCATTGCTTGACCCTCGTGATGGCTTCTCTTTGATTTGACCCTTACGTTCACTTTACTTGTCTCCTCCGACTGACCCTTATGTTTCGTCTATTTATCTCCACCGTTTGACCCTTGTAATCACTGTGATCAAAAAAAAAAAACTCAATCACCAAGTCTCGAATGAATTCGGGTCATCAGCCGAGAATCGAACCTGTGCCATCCATGTGGCAGGCACCAACTACACCTCCATGTAGCACTATCTAATCACTCAATCACCAAGTCTCGTCTGCTCCATTTGACCCTTATGCTCACTTCACTTATCTCCCGTGTTTGACCCTTGTGAATACTCCACTCGTTTGCCTCATTTGACCCTTATGTTCAACTCACTTGTCTCCCGCGTCTGACCCTTGTGATGACATCACTTGTCTGCTTCATTTGACCCTGACGTTCACTCCATTTGTCTCCCCCGTTTGACTATTGGGATCAACTCCACTCATCTGCTCCATTTGACCCTTATGTTCATTCCATTTATCTCACGCATTTGACTTCAGTGATTACTCCACTCGCTTGCCCCATTTGACCCTCATGTTCATTCCATTTGTCTCCCCCGTTTGACTCGCGTTTATCACTCCACTCGAGTGGAAGTACAAAACAAAACAAGCAGGGGTTCAAGCCTATCCGACAGAAGACTTGTGACCGTTACCTTTGCATTATTAGTCTTTACCTTTTTTTCATTTCTACCAATTCCATTGGTAGTAAGTTTCCGAATGCATCTGTAGCAATTGCCCGTCCCTGTGACAGGCATCCATACGCAACCACATTGTACAATATGTCTACGGAGAGATGATTAACTTTTTGACAAAATAGATGTATACAAAAAGTTGAATATCTCCGAAACCGCTCGGCCGATTGCACCCATCCAGAATATCAACCTTCAATATTATTAGAGCCACAATCATTCAAAATTTCAACTTGCTATCCCCATTATTTCTCAAGTTATCGTGCGTACAAAGATAAAAAAAAAATAAAAGAAAGAAAAAACGGGTATATCTCGGAAACTTTGCATGAATGGATTACATATTTTAATAGATCCAGATAGTGGCCATTTAGACGAGTATTTTGAAAAAAAAATGAAATCGGTGCAGTAGTTTTTGAGATATTGAGGAAAAACGAAATTTAAACAAGTTGTTATATCTCAGGAACTACTCGAACGATCAGGCTGAAACAGCGCGCCAATGTGACGCCTAATGACAGCTACTATGAGCCAAAATTTTATATTTTCATCGACAAATTTCACTGTATTTATGTTGAATTTTCTAAAAATTTATCACCGAAAACCCAAGTTGTCACACACACACATACAGACATAACTCTAAAAACATCATTTCTTCACGTTTCATTACATTCTAGACCATTTGCAATCCAAATTAGAAAATCGAAAAATCGGTCAAATACAAATCTTCCATTCGAAAGCAAAAAAAAACAAAAAAAAATGAAGAAAAAATAGCAGCAATTGTGAAAAATTGAATAAAAAAAAAATCAATTTATTTATTAATTTTTCAAAATTAATTTTTCGTATGAAATTGACAAAGTATTAATGAATTCATTAATTGACAATCATTAATCGATTAATTAACAATTTCCTAGTTGATCAGACGAATAAAAATTTTCGGGGGCACAAATAATTTTACGTCTTTGGTTTAAGTGCTAACAGACTTTTAAAAAAATGTGTCTGAGTGAATTATCAATGAAAAAATTTATAAAAATAGTCGTCCGATTGAAAAACATAAGAGGAACTTTCGATTCCAAATCACCTCCTTTCCAATACCCTTAAATATCTTACAGTGGTCATGGGACACCCTATATGAAAAGTAATTTTCTTGATGATTTCTTCTTGTACTACTATGTACATGAATTCCTCAACATTTAACAATTGATATGAGTTACTTTACCTCAAACTGTTTACCACTCATCTACTGAGCTAAAATATGTCTAGAATTTTCTTTTCGTTTTCCTGTCATCATTAGAATTAATTAAAGACTTTTAATAACTGTGATGATTTGTCGTAGATAATTGATTGTTCACTAATTTTTTCGAAATTGATTTTACATAAGCACTCGAAAAGCAACAACATCCATACCTTGAACAAGCACGGCCTGATCTCACCAACATTCGACGATGAGCGCAGTAAATCTCCACCAGCCTCAAGTCCACCACCCTTAAAAAGGCTGTGTAAAAAAAGTGATTCACCTAAAAATTCTAGTCCAGTGCCAGCAGTAGCACCTTGCGCTACCAACACACCACGCACTCGCCCTCTCATTGAGCCACAAGTACAGCTCGACTGTTACAAAGATCTCGATGTTGTTGAGGTAATACTTCTTATGATTCCTCCTCTAGTTAATTTCTTTTTTAATATAGTAAAAATCCCAAAATGCACTAATCGAGGTACGTGGTAGTGTATCGGTCATGAAAAAGTTTTGACAATAATTGTTTGTCTCAGGCCGAGCGCACCGCGTATTCTATACTCCACAGAACTTCCCCTTCCATTACCTCTAAGTGATTTTCAGGGATGATCGGCAAAGTGTCCTTAGTTACATTATGTAAATCGTGTGTTCTATCTTTTTCTCTGTTGCCGAAAATTCGAATTTCTCCTCGTTATATCTATATCCGGACCTCGGAGATGTAGTTAGTTTGGGAAGTTATAGTTTGTTTGGAATCTGCTAGGAATGGCATTTGTCGAAAATTGCATGGTCAAGTATTCCATGTTCTTGGATAATTGAATGTGAAACAAAAAAATATGTATTTTTCTTTGAGTGATAACAGTAAATGTTTTCAATTTCGTAGGACAAAATTCTGAAAAACGTGAATGAATTTGTGATTCTGAAAAAAATTAGTAGAACGATTCCACCAAATACCGACCTAAAATATTGCCTCAAAATTTTTAGTATCATTTTCATTTTCTCATTGTAAAACAGGCAGTAGAAAGAAGAAAAATGAGCGCTGCCAGAGCTATGTAACACAATAATTGACAGAGGTATAGCAGATTCAATGTTTTTTCTCCTTGAAAACTAAATGCACTGAGAAAGAAAAATTCTACAGCCAAGTAAATTTACTTGCGGCTAGTAAATTTACTTGGCTGTAGAAAATTAAATGCAAATATTTACCCGCATTTACTCGTCTCTAGTAGATATACTTGGCTGTAGAAGTTTTTTTTCTCAGTGTGTGTTTGGTTATCTCCGGCGGTTATCTTCTGCGAAATCCATAGGGCCCCTGTGGAGCCGTCTGTTTCCTCAATCCTTAATTGCAGTCTTACACATTATATACTTCTTATTGGCTGAATGAATAACCCATGCAATCAGACTGTCCAATTGGAAGCATCTTACTTTCCTGAGCATATAAATACCAGGTCCCGATAGATTCAAACTTCAGTCTCAATCGAGAAATTGTATCGAGTATATGTGGAACTACGTTGTGAATCAGTTCAGATATCATGGTGCGCCGAAATTGTTGCAATCCGCTATCGAAGACGGGTCATTCCAAAGTTACAAAATAAACGTAAGTGATCATGTGCGAAATCAATTTCCCGAAGAATTCGATGATGACCAGTTTATCTGCAGCGCATGTCTGAAACGGAGGGAGAAGAAGGATGCAGATGATCAATCTGAGGGAGCTGCAAATTGCCTCGTGGATTTGTATGAGGAAGTGTCAGATCAGCTGGAGACACTAGCAAGCTCCAGTGAGTCGGGGCATTCTGAGCATTCACATAATGGGTGTGGGGAAGCCGAGGAAGCTACACTCCATCAACTGAATAAATCTTTACCAGTATTAGGGCAATCTCCTCTTCCAACAAACTGGGTTGGCCGAAGTATTGCGGAGAAGAGGAAAATAGTGAACTCTTTGAAGGAATCACTTTCAACATCTTTCGGACCTGAATGGTTTACCGCTGATGTGAACATCTGCTAGGGAGAGAATTCAGCTATTGACATGTCTTCCTAAATCATGTTCCATCGCTAAACTTCAGGCAACATTCAACGTGACCATAGAATACAGAACGTAAGAACACAGTACGCCGAGCTTATTGGCTTCATCAAAACCATGGGTTTGGAGCCAATCTACCGAAAAAGACCCAGGATGTTACAGGGCCTCAAGAAGAATTTACGCAAAAGGCTGGAATAATCGAATGAATTACTTTTCATTCATCCTTCGATGATAGTTGTCATGTTTAGCTAATCTTATTTCAAAACTATTCACAGTGTCTTCAAACTTTCGTGTGCCGCTTCTTGTCGTTTGACCTTTGAGATTACCCTACCTATCTATCCGTTGTTTGATCGTTCCGACGTTTGACTCTTGCGCGACATGACCCCTGCAGGGCTTGCACATGAAATGGGAGTTCGACCCCCCTGTCAACGGTGTTGTTCTCGCGCCAGAACAACTGTGTTGTCCTCAATCACGTACACATGCGGTTAAGGGTGCCAAGTGAGTTTGACGATGACCTTGAAAATTGACATTCACCAACAAAGTTATAATTTTTTTTTATTAATAGTATTCGACAGATGGTGAACATCGGTGACAATTTTAAAATTTTAGAACTTATGGGTACCGAGAAATTAAATAAACAAAATCAGTCTTATGCACGGCCTCTTATGAAGTTTTAATTAAATTGAACGTTTCACCCCCCTAGGAATTCAAGAAAAATTTGAAAAAATTTGAAGATATGGGGAATGATGTGTCAAATGTGATGGCGACAAAAAAAATGGGGTACCGGGGTGAATAAGAGAGATATTTCAACCCCCCTTACCCATTTGATCCCATGCTTTCTCGAGGTTCGTCACGCAAAATAGAGGATTTTCTGCATTTATTTTCTCGATGTCTAGTTCCGGTTGCGGGTTTTGAAATTTCGTCAGATAGATGAATATATATTTCTCCAATGGTGGAGGGAAAGAAATTTTTTTTTTTTGAATCTTTTTTCAAATTCACTTGGCACCCTTAACACGGTCGAAAACCTTTTTGGCAAATTACTTGTTTTTTAAACGTAGAAAACTTGTTAAAATATCGGTGGTATTTTACTTGCCCAATCCTGATGGTACACTAATTTTTGGATGTCCGAGCGCGACACACTGCCCCTAAACGACATACTAAATATCCTGAATTTCGTGAATTTTTTATTCTCTGAGTGTTGATTTTTGTGCTTTAATAGAGAATTTACAGAGTTATACAAGTCAGCATTTAAATTTTTTCTAAAGATCTAATGAATTATTTTAAGTGAAATGATCCGGAGATCTTCTTCGTAGGGAATTAAATCCCGACTTCATTGGAAGTCTCTTGATATTTTGTTCTCAAGATAAATGGACTATCACCAGCTGTTTTCACCATTTTATAACTGAATTCATTTATAAAACAAGTATCATCGAATATTTATCCTTTTTTTTGAATCATGTCCCCATCTAAAAAATTGTAAGATTCAATCGCTCAAATCTCCAATTTTTAAATCATCGATAAATTCAAAATTAATGTTCTTTTCCTTTATTTCAGCCGAAAGTGGAATTGCCAGAATATGGAAGTGACGAGGATTACTCACCAAAACAGGAAGTTAATGCAATCCCCGGTGGCTTTTTAAGTCTAGACGGTGGCATGGAAGTGTTACCATCGTACCCATCATCCTATCAAAGTAATAAATCTCTCAAAGGATTAAATATTCACCATTCTCTACCCTTAAAACCTTCAACTAAATCCTAAAATAATTTTTCAGGCAGTGGAATTGAGGGAGCACTACCAGGCCCATCACACAGTGCTGGCGAATCAAATCAAGAGCAAGGTAAGTAACAGCCACGATTGTTCAATTATTGGTAGTGCGAGCACCATTACAAACAGCAACAACCTAGCCATTACATCACAATTTTGCCCAATCAAAAAAAAAATGAGTACAAAACGAAAGAAAGATTTTTTTGTGCAAGAAAACAATACAATGTGTGTGAGAGATAGGTGTGTGAAAGAATTAAATGATCAAGAATACTGATGAAATTACGGTTTGAAATGGTAAGCTCGTGTGTAGCTCGGTACGGCTTAGTAGGCGGTAGGATTATCTCTTTGCCATACGAAGGTTTTACAAGACCTTGAAAAAAACCAATAGACACAATATTTTAATCTATTTCTCCATTTTCTTTTTTTTTATTATGAAAAAACATTCTTTTAGTCCAATGAGTGCAGTTTTTTGCAGCTACGTCAGCTGCATTTGTATGAAAGTTTTGAAAATATTTTTTTTTCTCGACGAGAAGCTCAATTGTGAAATTAACCAATGCTGCCCTTACGTGTACATAGAATATGTCAAATTAATTTGATGAACAACGAAAGCGAAATGCTTCACAATTGAAATGGAAAATATTAATTCATGCTTATCATCGTTTAGACTATACTTTCCTCATCCATTCATGTTGTCATTATGTTTTATTTTTGCACACATTTGTCATTAAACTCTTACCTCATTCGCTTTATTATTCGTTTTACTAATAATACAAACATTTACTCTTATTGGTGATTACTTATGTTGTCTGTGTATAATTTTTCCTTGGAATTGATGGAACTTAATTCATACATTCGATCTTTTATTCAAGTCATCTTTTTTTTGTTCTTATAAAGGAAATTTATTAGGTTTTTCATTTTTACGTCGTCCAAAAATCTATATGAAAATAGGATTAAAAATTCCTAAAAAAAATTTCAATTGAAGCAGGCAATAAAATTCTACTATTCTCAATGCTATAAAATAAAGTCATATTATTTTATCAAATATTCAAAATTAATCAAATCAGTCTTAAACAATTGTACCGTCCAGGCAGCAAAATAAAACAAATGGGTGATTTACTGCTGATATAATTGATCTTGTCTCGCTGGTTGTTGCTGTCCTGTGGTGGATTGATCCTACTAATGAAAAAACAACAGAAACCAAAAGTAAATTCTTGAATTCATAAAATTTCAAAATTTGGTGACTAAAAAAATCAAATTAGAAATTAAACTCTTGCTGTGTTGAACGTTCTTTGCTAACCGTTTTCGTTGCTGTGGGCTGGCTATTAAAAACATGAAAATAAATAGAAACGAAAAAAAAGAAAATTACTTGGTGTCCGGTTAGAGCAAGTATGTGTGGTGTGTTGCAGCTGACCTGCGTAAACTGCACTCGCTGGACCCACGTCCCTGTCTTGTGTGCAACCGCATGTACAGTAACTTGTCAAATCTACGGCAGCACATGCGCCTCATCCACAATCCTCAGAGTGTCACATGCCCTATATGTAGCAAGTCATTCAAGACGAAGCTGTACTTAAAGCGTCATCTCGTCAGTTTCCACGATGTTAATCCATCGGATCGACAATTGCAAGAGGAAATATATCAACATCAGCTCAAAATACAAGTACAGGGACAATCAACGGCACAGCAACATCAACAGGCACAAAATGGTGTTGATACACAGCAGAATAATGATTCTATGCAGAATGCGGCGTCACCTGGGCCACAACCGCAGAATTGTAATGATGATAGTAATGGAGGCGGTGAGGGAAAATTAAGAGCTTATCATGCACAAATTGGGGATAGTGCTTATCCTGTGGAGGTGATTCAGATCAATGAGTCCAAGAATTTTGGAAATATTGTTCAGTTCAATGCCTCTTTCTAATTTTCGGATTCGAAAAAGTAAAGGAATGTTAATGAATGGAAATGTAAGAAAGACTGTTGTTTCTTTCTCTTTTATTGTAAACCGTTGAAATGTGGTAAAAAGGTCTCAGTTGATTGACCAGATTTCTGCGTAATTATGCCATTATCTTGGGAAGAAATGGGTTCAGGATGAAATATCAGCTGAGCAATCAACCCAACCAATTAACTTTTCAGCCTTTACAGGCTACAACTTGTTTTTTTTTTGTAATTGTACAAAAAGCAAAGATTTTAGTTCAAATTTGACATGTATTGCAACTCCGTTGCGGAAGCATCAGAATCTCGGTTCTTCTCCAATTTTATTGTGTACCTCGCTGTAAGAGAATCTCAAACTGGGGCTCCATAAATTGTTGAATATTGAATCCCAGTTGTGAAGAAGTGAAAAACAGGAGAGTACGAAACGAATTTACAGATTACTTTGAAAATATTTTCGGAAGGAATTATTTAAGGAAACTTATCAGGTGACATTTCTCATAATAATGCGTATGCACTATGAAAGACAAAATCTTTCATCACTTCTCGATAAACTTACAGTAAAATAATGTGTGTGAAATTTTTGGCCTTATCTCCTTCAACAACTTCACTGCAGATTAAATTTTGATTTTTGTCGAGATTTTGTCGAGATTGAGCTCATTCAAGTAATTCTCTATTTTCTCGTCGAAAAGCTCGTTGAAACACTAATTTTATTCTATTTTATTTTATTATAATTGAATGAGCGAAAAAGAATGGTAAAAAATGAAACTTCCAGTTGTTTTTTTTGCATAAAAAAACTCTTTCATTTGACAAAAATTACACCATAACATATTTTCCGTATTTAAAACTGTGATAATTAGACATTTGAATTTAAAGAAAGCTCGAAATTGTCTACTTTTTCAATATTTCCTTAAAATCCAGACAATTAATTTGCAAATTACTATTGTTTCAATTAATTCATCAACCGAAAGGCTTCAATTGAATCATTTTTTTAGTATTGGTATTTCCGCGTTCAGGACGAAAGACAATAATTTCAATCACTTGAAAATATTTCAAAATAAAAAAATCTATCCATTTTCTCGTTTAAATTGTCCCCCCCCCCCTCCGTGATGAAAATCAATATTTTTCTCAACATAAATTCTGTAATTCTGATATTTCTCTCACGTACAAATATTTTACACATCAAGAACAATTCTAAGAATCATACTCTTACTACCCGAGAAGTCTTATATACAGGGTGTCCCGCAACCGCTCCTTTTCCTGAAAGGGTATTGAAGAGGGAGTTTTTTGAAGTGGAAAGTTCCTCTTCCGTTTTTGGATCTGAGCTTATTTTTTTTGGTCTGACATTTTTTTATTTCGGGGTTTTTCTACTGATTTCAGGGGCGAAGTTTTTTTTTTAAATTGACAAAATTTTTTTTTTCTTTCTTGAGGGGAGGGTGTGAGGAACAAGGCTGAGCCCAAATCCCGTCTCTAAAAGGGGAATGGGATTTTATTTTTCCATTTTTTGCTTTGAGTTCGCATGGATTTGGGGAAATTAGGCACTTCTAGGGGGTAAAAGCCAACCCCGTTCGAATCGGGGAGTTGAAATTTTCACTAAATGACGGGAGGGGGTTGAGGAACAAGCCTGAGCCCAAATCCCGTCTCCAAAAGGGGAATGGGATTTTCGTTCTCCATTTTGTGCTCTCAATTCGCATGGATTTGGGAAAATTGGGCACTTCGAGGGGGTAAAAGCCACCCCCGTTTGAACCGGGGATTCGAAATCTTCACTAAATGAGGGGAGGGGGTTGAGGACCAAGCCTGAGCCCAAATCCTGTCTTCAGAAGGTGAATGGGATTTCCTTTCTCCATTTTTTGCGTTGAGTTCCCATGGCTTTGGGGAAATTAGGTACTTTGAGGGGGTGAAAGCCACCCTGGTTCAAATCGGGGAAGTTGATATTTTCAGTAAATGAGGGGAGGGGGTTGAGAAACAAATCTGAGCTCAATTCCTGTCTCCAAAAGGGAAACGAGATTTTCTTTTTCAATTTTTTGCTCTCAATTCGAATGGATTTGGGAAAATTAGGCATTTTGAGGGTGTAAAAGCCAACCCCGTTCGAATCGGGGAAGTTGATATTTTCACTGAATGAGGGGAGAGGGTTGAGGAACAAGTCTGAGCCCAAATCCTGTTTCTAAAAAGGGATTAAGAGTTTCTTTTCCCATTTTTTGCTCTCGGTTTGCATGGATTTGGGAAAATTGGGCACTTCAAGGGGGTAAAAGCCACCCCCCTTTTAATCGGGCAAGTTGATATTTTCACTAAATGAGGGGAGGGGGCTGAGGAACAAGTCTGAGCATAAATCCCGTCTCCAATACAAAATTGAGAGTTTCTTTTTCCGTTTTTTGCTCTCAGCTCGCATGGATTTGGGGAAATTGGGCACTTTGAGGGGGTAAAAGCCACCCTGGTTCGAATGGGGGAATTTGATATTTTCAGTCCCCGATTCGAACCCGGGTGGCTTTTAACCCCTCAAAGTACCGAATTTGCCCAAATCCATGTAAACCGAAAGCAAAAAATGGCAAAAGAAACTCTTAATCCCTTTTTGGAAACAGGATTTGAGCTCAGACTTGTTCCTCAACCCTCTTCCCTTATTCAGTGAAAATATCAACTTCCCCGATTCGAACAGGGGTGGCTTTTACCCCCTAGCAGTGCCTAATTTCCCCAAATCCATGCGAACTCAAAGCAAAAAATGGAAAAAGAAAATCCCATTCCCCTTTTGGAGACGGGATTTGGGCTCAGGCTTGGTCCTCAACCCCCTCCCCTCATTTAGTGAAGATTTCGAATCCCCGTTTCAAACAGGGGTGGCTTTTACCCCCTCGAAGTGCCCAATTTTCCCAAATCCATGCGAATTGAGAGCACAAAATGGAGAAAGAAAATCCCATTCTCATCTTGGAGACAGGATTTGGGCTCAGCCTTGTTCCTCACCCGCTCCCCTCAAGAAAGAAAAAAAAATTTTTGTCAATTTAAAAAGAAAACTTCGCCCCTGAAATCAGTAGAAAAACCCCGAAATAAAAAAAGGTCAGACCAAAAAAAATAAGCTCAGATCCAAAAATGGAAGAGGAACTTTCCACTTCAAAAAGCTCCCTCTTCAATACCCTTTTAGGAAAAGGAGCGGTTGCG